GAACAAATAATATAACTATAATAAATATAATATATATAATAAATAAGATATAATTAATAAATATAATAAATATAATCCATATATCTAATATTTCCACTTGATCAACGTTGACAACTTTAGCAACTCTGTCAAACTTCGTCAACTATGTCGATCATTTAGATCACATGACTTTATTTTAGCGCAGTCACAGATCACGGCTTCACCGTCATATTTACTATGTAAAATTAATGTTATGATCAGTTATTCACCGAGATTTTCTTCATGGTCTTTGCATTGGCATCGTCGTCGAGTACCAAAAAAAATCGTTCACAGTTGTATGTACTGCCATGAAGCGTTTGCTTTCAATGACTCATGTTTTATATATGCCATATGTTGTGTTTTTATGCGCTCTTCTTTGAAGAAGGAAACTGTTTCGGCTATTTCTACTAAGGCATAGCTTACGTGTTGTAATTGTAAACTGTTCGCTGTAGCCTAATTTTCGCAAAATGTGGTCTCCCTCAAAGAGCTTTATTCCCTACTTAGTAGCAGGCGTAACTTCAAATACATAACAACTTAACAAATAACTTAACATTTTATATCTATACTTTACAAATTTTCCCTTTTTTCAAACTGCGGTAGTAAATCTTTTCATTTTAAAAAAGAATTAGTTATTTTCATCTTCTTAAATATCAGCATAGTTAACCTTTATATTCTTTGATTCAGTCTAATCAAGTAACTACATTCTAACATATCATCTTTTATCTTTAATTTTCAAGAATAAGGAAATGCATTAAGTAGTAAATTCAATTTGTAAAAATTTTCTTTGTTTGAAAAACAATTTTTCCATTTATTTTAAATAAATCGAAATTTTTAAATTTTGATATAAGATATATTGGAAGAGATTATTGAATCTATGTAAAGCTCAAAACGTTTTGAGATAATTTGAAATTTGAAATTTTTCCTTTAATCTCTCACCTAATAACGCGAAAGCGAGTAAATATAGTTGGAAAATAATCTTCACTTTTCACAGTTCAATTATTAATTACTTTCAGATTTGGAAGTGGGATTTGCAAATGCGGAAATTTCCTCTACGTTCGCGTTTAATTATTTATTTACTATATAAAATAACGTAAAGTGAAGTTTAATTTTGTTAGTAAAGGGAATATTTAAAAAATAAGTTTAAAACTAAATATGTATTAGGCTGAAATAGTATATCTGGTAAATTCCTCTTTTTATTTGCAATGATTAAATGTCTTCATTTATTTCATAATTTTGTGATTAGAGTATAATTTATTTTTGTTAATCTTGAAACATTTATATGATCATTGTTTACGTGCTTTATGATAATTTTTAAAGTAAAAAATATCTTTATTATATAATTGTCTTCTTATTTGAACTTGACGCAACTTAACAAAATATAATTTGTATATATAAATATGTCTAGAGTGTTTAAAATTTTGTAGTCTGCAAGTTTTTGATATAAAAGAAGAGTTATAAAGATTATTTTTCTATTGCAACAAATATAAAAGAATAAATAATAAAATAAACAATATAAATATTTAATGAAGCTAATTATAAATAACAAATAAACGAAAATAAATTTCTTAAACTTTTAATACATATATTTTTAAAAAATATTAGTAAATTATGTAAATAAATTTAGAAAAAAATTTATCATAAATACTTTACATTTTTTCACTTTTTCTTTACTGGATTTTATCAGATTTTTCACTTTTTTTCTTAGTTTTTCAATTCTTTTTTTGGCACCTTGCTTGCTAATGTTTTCGTTCATCTTATTATCTTTACTATCTTTGATATTTTGATAATCGGTTTGGGTTTGAATATCTAATTCTTCAATCGTTAATTTATTTTTTAAGTTTTCTTCAATTTCGCTAATTATTTCTTCATAATTACTATTTGAACCACTTTGAACTGGATAAACTTTTGGAGGTTCTTCAACTTGAATTTGCTGTTCTTTCGCTTCACTTGGAGTTGTTTGACTTGACTCAATGGTGTTTTCTGACTCATCATCATTGTTTTTAGTTTTTGGTCTTTTAGGATTAGTTTACTTTGGAATATACTTAATAATATCAAGTTCTGCAAAATTTAAGATTTCTATTTATTAATTAGAAATTTCTTATAATTAATAAATATTTTAAATATATAATAATTACCAATACTTTGACTAATTCCTCTTTCATGTGGTTCATCTTTCAAATCATATTTATAATCAAAAATCTCTTTTTCCTCCTCATTTAATATTTCTTTTAATTTAGTAAGATCAAATAAATGACTTGTATGGTATGCTTTTGAATGAGATTCAATAATAGGTTTAGTTGAAATATTAATTTGATCTAATAATATATTTGTTACATTAAAATCTTTAAAATTACTAAACCAATTAATAAAAGTATCCTTAATATTATATGCAGTTGGCCTTTTTAATGGATCCTTATCCCAACATTTTTTCATTAAATTTATATAAATTTGTGAAGTGTTTTTAATAATTTCAGGACGTTCTCCTTTACAAATACTTAAAACAAGTTGTGCATCATGTGCTCTATTTTCAAAAGGAGAAACTCCAGATATAAATTCCCACATAATCATAGAAAAACTATAAATATCACTAGCCGGTGTATAAGGTTGACCTCTTAAAACTTCAGGTGCTATAAATGGTAAAATACCACATATCTCATTTTTTTCAGATGTTTTAAAATACTCTATAGGTTTACATAATCCTAAATCACTAATATAAACAGAAGAATTATTATATAAGATATTTCCATCATGAAAATCACAATGAATTAATTTTAAATTATGTATAATATTAAGTCCTTTAATAATATCCAATAATAATAATAATTTATCTTTCCAATTATATTTAATTATTTTTGGTAAATTTATTCTTAAATTACCCTCATTTGCATATTTCATTAATATCATAAAATCTAAAGTAATTGGATCTTGAGTAAATCCATATAAATGAATTAATGAATTATCACAATTATAATGATTTTTCCACTATAAATCAATAAAATTGGTTTAATTTAAATATATTAACATTATTAAACTAAAAAAAAAATATATACCTCATTTAAAAATTTATCATTTAAATCTAATGAATTATTAAGTTTTTTAAGAGCTATTAACATTTTACCATTTCTAATCCATTTTTGTTCATTATAAGAATAAGACAAAATAAATCCATCTAACCAATTAGCTTAATATATAATGCTAAAACCTCCTTTATCAAGATATTCAATATTTTTAAGTTTATCATAAGAAATCCATTCTAATATTTGCTTATTATTTTGAACATTCAATTGAGTATTTTGAATAAATTTATTAATAAATTCATTTTTACTAGTCCAATTAGAAAACTCTTTTTGAAGTAATTTAGTATTACATTTTTTGCACCATTGAAATCCAGTATTTAAATTATTACAATTTAAACATCTTCCTATATTTTCTAATTAAATTTTAAAATTAATAGATTTATTATATAATATTATAATAATAAAATAATAAATAATATTTACTTATTTAAATTAATTTTATAAAAAATTTTATAAATCATAAAATATTTAAAATTATTAATAAAATAACTTAATTAATATGATAAATATTTTAAATAAAAATAAAATTACCAACTATTATTGATTATAAATATTTTAAAATAAATTTAGTTAAATATAAATTAAATAAAAATATAATTAAAAATAATAATTAATAATTAATAAATTAACATACAATCTAAAATATAAATTTATTTAATTTAAGTATAATTAATTTAATTTTGAAAAAATATAGTTAAGTATTATTAAAATAAAATAACTTACAATATAATCCTAAATTATTAAATACTATTTTTTAAATAAAAATATAATTAATATTTAGTTAAAATTTAATTTTTAAATAAAAAATTTAGTTGACTTTAAATTATAATAACAAGTGTAATTAAATACTAATAATCAATAAAAATAACTTACCCCCTAATAAAATTTATTTTTTTAAATAAAAAATTAAGTTAACTTTAAATTACAGTATCAGTAACAAGTGTAATTAAATACTAATGATCAATAAAATTAACTTACGATCTATAGAATATTTTAAATAAACATTTAGTTGACATTAAATTACAGTAACAAGTGTAATTTAATACTAATAATCAATAAAAATAACTTACTCACTAATAAAATTTATTATTTTAAATAAAAAATTTTAGTTGAATTTAAATTAGTAACAAGTGTAATTAAATACTAATAATCAATAAAAATAATTTACAATCTATTATATTTTCAATTTATTTTTTTAAATAAAAAATTTAGTTAATTTTAAATTACAGTAATTAAATACTAATAATCAATAAAAATAACTTACTCCCTAATAAAATTTATTTTTTTAAATAAAAAAATTTAGTTGACTTTAAATTACAGTAACAAGTGTAATTAAATATTAATAATCAATAAAAATAACTTACGATCTATAGAATTTTTTAAATAAAAAATTTAGTTGACTTTAAATTACAGTAACAAGTGTAATTAAATACTGATAATCAATAAAAATAA